AGTCATTTTTTAAAAATAATCCAAAATTCAATTAAGAAAAAAAGGATGTAATAAAATTGGGAGAAAAGAAATTTGACCCTAACTAGCAATTCTGAAAACACTAAATTAGACCAAAAAAACCTTCATGTGAAAACCAGCAATTGACCCAATATCAATCTAAGAAGTGCCGTATATCCCGAAAAAGTTTTTAAAAATTACAAAATAAATCTTCCAGAAAAAAATATGACATTACTTCCAGGAAATAGTTCTAAAATGTTATATCCCTTTGTAAACAAACCTTTTTCTTAACATACTCTGATGAATTTCAACTCTTTAGTGTCATTTGATTACAAAAAGGGATTTGGGGCTTTGATGAAATTACTTTCAGAAGATCTACAAACCTTAAATGTTGAGTTAGTAGTGTTTTCCCCTGACAAAAAAGTTCAGATAGTTATGAAACTTCAGATCATGTAAGTGTTCTTGTTCCTGTTACCCTAAAAGATCACATAACTCAAGGGAAAAAAATGATTTTCCCCTAAAGAAAGCAAGGTACTTCAAATCACCTGCTACTGGCCTCCATAATTCCAGTGGGACCAGTTTCTAAGAATAAACCAATAATAATCTGACTGATATTTTAAAGTTCTTCACCTCAACTGAAGGAGACTTCAATTTCAAAACCAGCTTCATTTCAGTTCTTTGTTTATTTACTGGCTATCTCCTATGAGAAATGCACATCTATATACTTTTATTGATTAACTCAGTTTCTTTGCTTGGTAAAAACTTCTAACTACAGCATTCAATATTTTAAAGAGTAACTCTCCCCTATTTCCACTTCCACACTTATGTTGAAAAAATGTTACTTCACTTCTCATAAATCGTATCTGATACTGATTATAAATGAAAGCATACTGTAAGTACATTAGGAAAGCTTACAATTTATGGGAACCCTTCATTTTAAAAAATAATTTTAATCTGGATTCTCAAATATTAAAGCCAATGGAAGCTAACATTCTTTGACTATCTATTTTTAGGTACTTTAATTACATTATTTCACTTAATCCCCATAATCCTAGAGACTGAAGGTATTATCCCCATTTTACAGATAAGGAAAACAACTCAGATTAAAAATCTGACCATGACTCTGAACTGACCCCATTGACTCAACTCGTTCTATCTTACTGCTTCAAATTTTCATATAGGTTACCAGCAAAAATATTGAAATAATTTGATCTAGGTACCAGTTAGTTGCAAACACCATCCTAATAAATAATCACAGGCCTGAAACTAAGCTATTTAAACTTCAATTTCCTCATGGATAAAATGGGAATAACATTGGTCTTACACAGAATTACTGGGATGACCCAATGAAATATAATGTTTATAAAGTGACATTGAGCTTGTGCCTTGTCATACTACAGGTGTGAAAAAGCAAGGCATACCAGAGATGAGGAGTTACACACCTTTGGACTGTTTCACTGGTTATGAGTTATAATTTTTTAGAAAGTGTAATTTGTAAAGGCTACATGTTTTATAAATATAAGACACCGACTACATTATCAAACCAAACCTTCAGACTTAAAAATAGTTAAACAGCCCTAGCCGGTTTGGCTCAGTGGATAGAGCATTGATTGGCCTGTGGACTGAAGGGTCCTGAGTTCAATTCTGATCAAGGGCATGTACCTAGGTTGCAGGCTTGATCCCTGGCATGGTTAGGGGGTGCTTGCAAGAGGCAACCAATCAATGTGTCTCTTCCCCTACCTTCCACTCTAAAAATCAATGGAAAAATATCCTCAGGTGAGGATTAACCAAAAAAAACCAAAAACCCCCACTTTCTCTTAAAAAAAAAAAAAAGTTAAAGAGACTGAAAAACTTCCTACTGTGAATAACATATTTTTGAAAAGTTAAAAGTTTCCTAACTGTTGGTTACCAGAAGTTTAAGGTAGAAAAAAAGTCCTATACTACTATAAATTTAAGTACAGAAAAAAATTGATAAGATGCTCCTACTTTTGTTTTTTAGTACCTTGTTCTGAGGTGCTTATAAAATTAACAAGAAACTTAAAAAGTGTTTTGGAAAAAAAATTATACAATATAAGACAGTATATTTTTAAATACCAGTTTCATAACAACAGTATCTCATTTTTAAAAAATATATTTTATTGATTTTTTAAGGAGAGGAAGGGAGAAAGATAGTTAGAAACATCGATGAGAGACATTGATCAGCTGCCTCCTGCACACCCCCCAACAGGGATGTGCCCGCAATCGAGGTACATGCCCTTGACAGGAATCGAACCTGGGACCTTTCAGTCCACAGGTCGACGCTCAATCCACTGAGCCAAACCGGTTTCGGCAGTATCTCATTTTTAAAAATTCTCTTAACAAGGCTTATTACTTAAAAATTTTTTTATTGATTTCAAAAAGGAAGTGAGAGGAAGAGAGGGATATAGAAACATCAATGATGAGAAAGAATCGTTGATTGGCTGTCTCCTCCTCACACACCACTGGGGATCAAGCCCACAACCTGGGCACGTGCCCTAACCGGGAATCGAACCGTGACCTCCTGTTTCACAGGTCAATGCTCAACCACTGAGCCATGCTGGTTGGGCTATTAAATACTTTCTATAGCAAAACAGAAAATTTACTCTGACCATTTTCAACATGAAAAACTTGCAACCCACTTACTAAATGATTTTGCAAAATAAACTCCTTACAGATGAAAAAGCTGTCTTATTTTTTTGTTAATTCATACCTTCAGTATGTTTTGAGGAAAATAGCAGGCACTTTTCTATTTTAGATCCATATGGACAAAGTGTTAACACAAGCAGGTAAAAACACCAGAAAAATATTGGATGCCTACAGATAACTGAATCACTCTACACTAAACTAATACTTCAGAGCAGAAGAAAAATTTTCTTTCATACACATACTGAAGGGCTTTCCACTGGTTTTTGTTAAGGCCGCAAATGGAAAAAACTACTACTGACAGAAAAAGCACAGAATGCTGTGGTATCAAGTACACTGCCAAAGTACCAAGTGAAGCAATTGCAATTTTTTTTAAAATCACTTTTCAAGCATTTTGGCATCTGGAGTAAAAGTAGTTTTTCCTATTAGAAGTAATCCAAGTAACGATCTCAATTTCCCTCAATCAAATTTGTATAAATTATATTTTCTTGCAAAATATATATAATCTAAAATTCCACTCCTCTTTTTTCCTCTAGCTGTGACCAAAATACTATAAATAAGACATTCAATTGCACCTTCAACTTATTGAACTATAAGCCATATAACTTAGATGGCAGACTGCATATTTTTGCCATTTAAAAAACAAAATGTTTTTTAAAGCTGCATCTCATGGCTTGAACAACCATGTTTAATATCCAATTATTTATGTTAAGAGTAAATATTATACCAGTAAGAATATTAAAGAACTATAATACTTTACTAAAAAGCAAATGAAATATATGTGAAAGAAATACACTAGCACTAAACCTTCAAACTGTAAAAACAATTCAACAATTTAATGAAGAAAATCAGCAATATGAAACTATGATATTGTAATTAAGTTTTAAGATTTAAAATCCATGAATAGCAATCCATAATAGATAAGTTGATAATTCTTTTATAGCTATGACATCACTCAAGAATTGAAGTCTTGGTAATGCCTACCTTGTGGTTTATTAATTGACTACAATATATAAATGTTAACAATTTTTGTATGCTAAAAAGCAAGTTACCAATGCAGTGGCACAGGCTACATATACCTTAAATAAAACTTTCTTTTAAAAGCCAGTTTGATTCTGGCTGTGGGATGCTCTTGACTTAGAAGCAGGGCCATGTACGGTCTGAATGGGGTTCCAGAGCTATTGTATGTAGGTCAACTGTGATTTGATCTGGGGTTTTCTTTAGACTCCTAGCCAAACTAAGGCTGGATTCATAGGCCCAAAGGCAAATCAGAACTAGACTGGCCTTGAAGAGGATAAATGGATTGAAAAATCTGCTGAACATTTATCTATTTTAGTATAAACCTTTAATTTTATTGCAAAACAGATGATCTAGATTTCTATCAGGTTTCTTTCGTCGGAAAATTGTTTTAACTAGGAGCATCATCATCTTGTTCTATGATGGTTTCGATCTCTTAAAAACGAAGACATCAATTCGCAAAGATTCAACTAGAACACCGGGAAACAATGTATTTAAAAATCCTCTAAACTTAAGTGGGAAAAGTGAGCCAAGTTCTCCTACAAGGCATTCGGCAAGGACACCAATTTGAGTTACTGTACAAGCCCACCAGGTCCATGGGATCACTGCTCAGCGAACTAAGCTCCCATTCCATTGCAAAGCAACACTTCACTCACTCCTTACTCCTTCTCCACATTCTCTGTGTACAACGTCTCGAAACATTTTAAGTCTTTCCCGTCTTTGGGCCAAAAGATAACATTGAAACCTGACGACCCAGTTAATAATAAGACACTAACTATACCGCGCAGATATTTTAGGGTTTTTTTCGTTCTCACTGTATCGAAAGGCCAGGTAACTTTTGTTTCCATTAGGAGTGCGGGTCTGTGAGACTCTTAGGAACAAATCAATGGGCGGGAATTAGGAGAGGGGTGGGCACGTAGAGACGAACTACTTAGTCCGAAACGAGGTGGTGGGTCTCGGGAGAGCAAAGGTCGGAAGGTTAGACAGGTTGTCCAAAGCAAGAAACGGGGTGGGGGTAGGGGTGTGGGGGGAAGCAAGCCTGGGGAAGAGGCAAGACCCCCTCCCTGGACGCACTGGGCGAGTTAAAATAACGAGGAAGGCAGGTGAGCGAGCGCGCAGGTGGGGAAGGTTGGCCTGCTCCTCTCAGATGGCAAGAGTTGATGGGAATCGGGGGGAGAGGGGAAAAAAGGCAACTCTTCACACAGCAAACCTGTTGGAATCGGAGGGGGAACCGCGGGGAACGTGCTTGGCACCACCCGCCTCAGCGGGGCAGCCAGAGGCCCGGAAGGAAATGGCTCTGCGGGCGCCCCCTTGGCAAAACTTACCTTTGAGCTGGGGCAGGGGCTGCAGCTCCACGGGGCTGCCCTGGGTGCGGAACTGCGACGAGCCCTGGGAGCGCTTCTGCCTCAGCGCCTTGCGCACCGATTTCCGGGTGAAGCCGTCCACTTTCTCCGAGGCCGAGATGGCGGCACTGGCAGCCCCCGCCGCCGCCGGCGGCGACGACGCCGACATCTCCGCGGCCCAGGCGCTTGCCAGCTCCGGCTGCTGCTAGCGCCGAACGGACGGCGGCGGGAGGAGGGGGAGTGGGGGGAGGAGGAGGAGGAGGAGGCGAGGGTGAGGCGCGGAGCGGTCGCGCCCCTCCGCCCCGTGCCCCCGGCCACACCGTCTTCCCGCTCCCGGGCGCCGCCGAGCTTCTCCTCGCCGCCCGCCAACGCCTCACGAGCGCATCTCAGGGCCGGAGGTTCCTGGTCCCCGCCGCGCGGCGGGCTCCCGGGGCCGACGGAGGCAAGGGCGGGGGGCGCAGCTGGGCCAAGAAGTTGTTGACTCCGGGCGCCGAGGGCGGGTGGAAGGGAGCCTGAAGTTTAGACTAACCGAGGCGACGGAGCACCGGGCGCGGATGCGGATTCCGGAGCGCGCCTCTCGTGCCTTCGGTCCAGTTTGCGAGTCGACCGGCCAGCAGCACCTCAGCGTCCGCTGCCAGAACCACCCGCCGCCTTCCTTGGAGTCTCCTCGCGAGGCGCTGCCATCGCGGGTCCCTTCCGAGCCTCTGCCGCGGAGCCTGCTCTTCCCAGTCAGCGCGGTCCCCTCATCTCCCGTGGCGGTAACCCGCCGCCCGGGCTCTGGGCGAGCACACCAGCGCCCGTCGGGGTGCGGAGCAGCCGGAGCGCCCTCCCCCACGCGCCCTTCCGCCGCCCACGCAGAACCCCCTGCGAGCGTCCGCTACAACTTGGAGGGGACGCGCGAGGAAAGGGGGGGGGAGTGAGTGTGCGTGTGCGCGCGCCGGGGCGTGAGGCCCGGGGGCGGGGCCTCGCGAGGGGCGGGGAAGGGCGGAGATTGACAACTTCCGCGGGGTCCCGCCAGCCTCGGAATACTTGGGAGGGAGTTGTGGGTGGGAAAGCATGCCAGCTCCCTCAGCCAATTGCAGGGCTCAGCGGCGGTAACGCGGTGGGGCGTGGCGTCCTGGAAAGTGTATCCCGCGGAGAGGTTAGGCAGCGGAATGGGGCGTGGTTTGTGTGACGGACTGTGCTCGCAGCCAATCGTAAGTGAAGACGGCGAGCGGAACGCCGCTCGCGTCACAACGGAGCGGTGAATTTTCCTTGGGCGGGGAAGGCCCCTCCAACCAGTGAGCGTCTTTGCACGCCTGCGTGACAGCTCTGGGCTGTCGCTCCCCTCCTGACAGCTCAAGAGAAGACCAGGAAACTACAGGGGGTAGTTTTAAGGAGTAAAACAGAATGCCCCTTCCCTTCCCCCTCCTCTCTTGCTGGCCAATGAGGAACTGAAGCGACTAGTGAGGAGTTTGAGGGCTGGGGCGGGAAACAGCGTGTGATGTTAAATCACCAGAAGGGGGGCGGGGCAAAGGGAGGGGAGGGTAATTGACGGGCGGAGGAGCTCGGGAAAGGCGAGGAAATAAGCTTGTCCAATCGGAGCGAGGTACTGGGCTCGTGGGCGGGCCTTGGAGCCTCGGAGTGACGTTGGCACCGCGGTTCTGGGGAATTATTTTCGCGCCAGGCTTGGGCAATCTAGCATCTACCACTTCAAAGATTTCTACAAATCTGCACCATCCAAGCGTAGGTTTCTCATATCAACTTAGTATCCCACTAATCTTCACGCCTTCTTCAGCCAAAGGCCTTCAACTACCACAACAGAACCAGGACAAATTTGCTGATCAGTGGTTTGCAGATTTGGGGATTGCCACTTAACTCTTAATGGGATCTCTTCCTTGGAGATTTTGTTTAAATTTTAAACTTCTCAAGGACAAGGACATTTTTAGAGCAGTGTTTTCCGTATAGTGATGCTTAATAAAAATATTATGAGAAGTAAAAGAGAACCAAATTGTTCTCTCTCTACCCTATTTTAAGACCCTCACTATCCAAAATACAGAAAGTACTAAACAAAATTCAGAAATCGATTTGTCGTTTACATAAAAATGGTTAAACACTTGCGGAGTAGAAGGAATATAAAAATTGTTAAGCCTAAATTTAAACTTAGGAAATAAAAATAAATAAGTGAGCCAAATAACCTGCCTCCCTTTGACTTGGCAGTTTTGCACTGATGGATCCATATCTTCATTATTGGTAGGAATGTAAATTAGTACAGTCACTATGGAAAAAATGGGAATTCCTTAAAAAATTAAGAATAGAACTACCATATGAAATTGAATGGCTCAAACTTGTCACCACCATAAGCTTGCCTAACACTTAACAAATTTTGTATTTGTGGAAGTATGAGGTCCTTTTACCCAGAATGAAAATGTTATTTTCACAAGATATAATAATGCTCCTTATTCATTCATTCAGAAAATATTCATTAATTTGTCCATTTCAAGTGCTTGGAAAACAGCTATGAATGAGACAGTGGAGAAAAATCACAAGTAAAATTCAACTATGGGAACAAAGCAGGAAAAAACACTGATGTCCACACAGATGTCCACAGATGTTTAGGTAACCATAGGGTGACCAACTTATCTTGGTTTGCTAGAGACTTTCCCAGTTCTAACACCGAAAGTCTCCTGTCCCAGGACCTCCCTACATCCTGGGCAAACCTGGACAGTTGGTCACCCTATGAACCAAACAAGCAACGACATCTGTTTATTTGGTCTAATATGAGCAAAGCCAATGGCTAAATGGTATGGTATCAACCTTAAGGGAGCATGAGCTCTAGGGGAAAGATGAGGTGCATATTCAGGGAAAGATAATTTATCATTCAGGACAATGTTTGTGAGTGCCAAGGTAGAGGAGATGAGATTTACACTTGAGCTGTAGGATTGGGCATAAATATATATGTATATTATATGTATATGTATATGTGTATGTATAATGCTGTGTGTGTGTGTGTGTGTGTGTTTCGTGGAAATTAAAAACATCAAATTCAGTGGTCTTGCTACTTTCTAGAAGGAAGGTAAAAAGAGGGATGTTGAGAGGAGAATTGAGAGAGATACACTGAGGGCTCTAACTATATCTGTAATGCTTTATGTATATGTAATTTAATTGGATATTAGATTGGTGGGTGTTTATTATACCATTTTCTACACAGTTTATATGTACTACATGTATTTTTAAATTTTGGAGAATGTAGGGCCTCTGTGTTTTACAAATGGTGAGGCTGAGCTGTATTCGGGCACTTATAAAAGGGGAAACCCAGATAAGGAGAGAATCCTTCTCAACTTGCATTTGATCCAGCCAGCAGACATACTGCCAACCCTCATGCAGTACAGTAGGGATCCCCAAAAAGGAGCTGGATAATGGAAGAGAAAGAGCCTCAAGGACCACCCTCGAGGATGCCCACGAACAAGAAAAGTGACACTAAAGTAACACCAGCAGAGAAAAAGCTAGAGGAGCAGATGGGTTGCTAAAACAAAAATGAGAGAAATGCAATCCTTTAGATTCCTGGGGAGAAAGGAAGTAATAGCCTGTCAGTCACAGCAGGGAAGAAAGAAAGATAAGACAATTTGACTTGTCCAGAAAGATATATTTATGGGCTTTAGCAAGAAAAAAATTTAGCAGTGCCAGAAGCAATTAATTGCAATGAAGAAAATTCCTCTTCAGGATATGAAAATGAGCTGGAACTGGACTTGCCCTCTTACCGGTAAACAAGAAATTGGACAAAATGTATGCAATACTTGTTTTCATTATACAACACACAGTTCAGAATGCAGTGATCCCTCCAATATTCCTGGCTTTCTGCATGGAGGCACTTTTCAGACCACAAGGAAGGTGGGCCCAAGTAGGTGTGACAATCTAGCTGAAATGAAGACCAAAAAAATCAGAGTTTGGGGAGGCTGAGACAGAGTACCAGAGATGAGGTACATATGCATAGACCAGTGTTTCCCAAAGTGTGGTCCGCGTACCCCCAGGGGTACGGGAAGAGTTTGGTGGGGGTACGCGTTGCACCGGAGTTTGGTGGGGATATGCACTACACCGTGCTTAGCTGCGCCTAATTCTACATTCTTATGAATACGAGGGGTACTCGGCGTTACAAAAATTATAGAAGGGGTACACATATGTCAAAAGTTTGGGAAACACTGGAAAACTCCAGAAATCTTGAATTCTTTGAATATTAAGCTGCATAGGATGCAACTACATGAGACTCGGCAAAGCGAATTCCTTAGGTCGCTATAAATTATATAGGTTCCTGAGCTGGGCTGAGGAACATTCAAGTTCCACCAGGTAGAATGGAGAGATCTTGTTGAACCTGTGTGGCTTTCTGGGGGATTGTGGCTAAGTAGTAGGTCTAAGCTTGTCCTGAAATTAGAATTAAATGGCCAACAAACATTTTTAGAACAATTTTTAGTCGGTTCTGAGCTTATAACTTTGGTATCCATAAGATGACTTGGATTCTTGAGCAAAGAAGAAAACCATCTTACATTGGAGAGATAATAAATTATAATTTCAGTTATAAAATTTTTGTTTGAAAATTATAAGGAAAAAAATGAAAAAGGATGTTTTACAAAAAATAAAAGCTCTTCAATGAAGCCACTAAATAATGGCCCATTGAATACAAAATCTTTCTAACTATACCAAATTTCAACGGATTTAACTTTTGAAAAATTGCAAGGGCTTTCCTTCAGCTTTAGAGGAAATCATCCCAATTAACACTTTGGATGTGTTTTGCCTCAAGAGACTTTCAAATTTATGGAAAAAGTCATTGGTGTAAATACTGTAGAGGTTTTACATCTGTCAAAGAAAAAAACCAGTTAGATATGGAAACATTGTTTTGATCCCAACGAAGGGTTCTCCAACTATGTTAAGTTGAAAGTATGAATTTATTGAGATGTTAAAGCAAGAAACAGATCTTTTTGATACATATTGGAAATATTTGTGTTTAGTTTTTGAAGTGTTATCGATATCGTTGTTAAAATTATTCCATATATGTGCAAATGCTATGAATCATCAGCTTGTTGCAGTGTAGAAAGAAATACAAGAACATCAGTGTAATGGTCTTGTTCTTTTCCAATGCTCATTGGTTGAGTAATTGAGGACCTTTACAAAGATTTCTTGAACTGTTAACTTTAATTCATGATTTTTTAAAACAAAGGGAATACCTGCCAAATATTCAACAATCAAAGACAAAAAGACAGTAGTGTGATTTATGTTTTCTCACTGATATCACACTGCATAGGAATGAGTTAAATCTGAATTTCCAAGAAAGAAAAAATATATTTGTGATCTAGCTAGGAAGTCTAAGAATTTCTGTCAAAATTGAAAATCTTCAAAATAACCAGCAATGACAATTTAACACATTTTAAACATGAGTTAATATACCAACGATTTTCATTGTAAACATTATGTAAATTAGTTGTAAAACCTTAAGGAAAAATATGAATAACTATTAATATTGATGAATTCATAATTGCTTTTAAATGTATGTGACACTCCTTTGAATTTAATAATACTGAGTTTAACACAAGAGTTAATGAATTACTTAGACAGTTTTGAAACTGGTAGACTTTGCTTCAAAGTCAGATCATTTCTCCTAAAATTAAGGAAACATGTTTGACAATATGGATGCAAATATTAAAAAATGGTTTTTGAAACTTGACTCAGTTATTGAAAAACTTCTAAGTATGTTTGGAATAACTTGGGCATGTGAATCTACGCTTTCAACTACCAATTGTAGGCTATATAAATATGGACCAAATATTTTTGGTGCAAATTTAGCATTTGAATCAAAAAGTCTCTAAGTTTGAAAATACACATAGATTTAGAAGATTTCACATATATATGTGAGATATATAATTAATTTTTATATT